CCGCTGGTGGCAGTAGTGGCAGCGGCGGGGAGATCCGGCCGCCGCTGCTGCTGCTGCTGCTGCTGCTGTCATCAGTGGCCCGGACCACCCACAGAGCTGACAGTGCGGATGCGGGGCGGGTCATCACGCAGCTTTTCCCCGCACAGCGCTGCGAGCTGACAGACCTGTGGGTCACCGCCGCCGCCGCTGCCGCCGCCACCAGCCAGGGTCCCCAGCTGTAACGGCAAGCGGCGCTCTCGAGCCTGAGGTTGCACGACGGGGGGGGGGGAGGAGGAGGAGATGGGAGGGGGAGATCACCGACCGCTGACTAAACATTCGAGGTCCCCACTCCGGTCGCGATCCCCACCCCAACAACCACACCGGCATTTGTAAACGAACGAACGAACGAACGCGTGTAGTGACAGGAACCATTCGTCAGGGATTGCTCAATCGCAGTGTAGTTGTCGGTCACAGAGGTGTGGAGGTGTGGAGATGTAGAGGTGCAGCGCTACCCCACTGCCGGACTCAGAGCTCCACCGCCATTGAGATACGGAGGTGACTCGGGTTGCTGCCCACAACTACACGCCAGCCGATGGTAGACAGCAATCCCGCTTACCCCCTTACCCTGCGGTAAGGAGGGAACTACCAGCCCGCACTGGCCCACTCGCTTCCTAATTCGGATCAGAACGGCATCTAACACACTACTGCTGTACATTGTACGTACTTGCCGCCGTACATCCGTACAGTCCAGCAACGAGCTCAGAGCGGAAAGGACACAGACCAGCAGTGAAGTGTTGCTCCCCGGGAGGTGTTGTACGGATGTACGGCAGGAGGGCGGCCTAGCCAGGAGGTAGCTCGAGGAGGTCGTGGCGGCGGGTCGGGTCATCGGCCTGTCTGAGAGGGGCCCCATGGCCTGCAGTGTATGCGTGTATGTATGTATGTATGTGTGTAAGGGGGAGAGAGAGGGGGAAAGAGTTGAGTGGGGAGGAGTTGTTTGCGGAGGCGGAGATGAGACTAACCCCTAAAGCCATCTAGGGGCACTGCGTTCGGAGGTGAAGGCCGTGTGGCTGTGGCTGCGTAGGCGAGCGGCTGGCTGGCTGGACAGTAGGAATTGCAACTAACAAGTCGCAACAGGCTGGAGTGGAGTGGAGTGTCCAGACGAGAGCCGTCAACAGCAAGAACACGGACATTGCACTGGGCAGCCGTGGGGTGAAGTAAAGCATTAGGCTGTAGCAACCTTCCCTTCCCAACCGCTAAGGGGAGGAGGAGGGATTCTGAAGGGCGGCTCAGGCGGCTAGGCGGCCGCCGCCTAGGGCAGAAAACCCAGAGTTAAGGTGGTACTCCACGGCCT